ACAATTCTTCATCGAATTTATGGAAAATTTCTTGGATTAAGAGCATTCATTCGAAAACAATTTAATAATATATTTTTACGGTTTGTATCCTCATTAATCAAATTATTTCAATTGGAAATATAAATAATTACTATTAGACAAAATTGATTATTCGTATTTTTCTTATTCATATTCAATAGAATATCAAAAAAAACCATGTAATTGAGAATAAAAATTTGATGTTTTCGAAAATCGATTTGTTTCATTAAAGACTTCTGTGGGTGTGAGGAATCATTTCAACTTAAGGCGAGAAATAAGATATAACAGAAAAAATATTGAATTCATATTGAATGAAGACTTCTTATCTTGAGAATCAATAGAATGCTAAAGACAAAGAATATTATATCTCTAATGTCTAACCATTAGTTTGAGTAATTCAGTGGATTAAAAATTCTTACAAGAGAATATTCCCAAGTGTCATATTGCTTTTCGCATGGGATTCTTACTATTCTATCAATCATGATGAATTAGTAAAAAGGTTTGTTTTGGTTTAGTTTTTCGGTCCTCAATTTATATCCTATGAAATTAGTACTGCGGAAAACCTGGATGATTCAAATTCTAAGCTAAAATTTTATTTATAGATAAGCCTATTAGTGAGTAGAAATATTCCAAAAGTTTGAGCAAGGACAATAGAAACTTTGCTAAAATACTTACATTTTAAAGAAACATCTGTTTTGGATTGTTTTTCAAAACAGGAATGTTTCTATGTTAAACCGATATCTCGATACGAGTACATTTATTCTGGCTCATATTTTCGATTGTTTCTAGTGGCTATAAAGTCTATACATGGACAAAATTACAACTCGAACTTCGATTATCCAAGTTTTTAGCAATTCTATGTTTATAGGATGAAAATCGAGTACAACACTTGTAATACAACAAGTGAACACCGGAAAATTAAATCAAAACAGACTTTTTCACTACTTATCATGCCTGATCTAAGGGTAAATCGTCTCAAGTCAAAAACGATTTGATAGCAGGGAACATTCCTTTGTTAGATCATTCTTGATGTAAAAATTTGATATTATTAATGAACATTTACACAATTGTGATAGACTATTTAGTCCATAATTTGAATCGCTTAAGCATCAAATGTTAGAATTTATTTTTCAATTTATAAAAAAAAAGCTAGTAATTAATCTCCGGTTTTTTGATCATTTAATATAATTCTAATAATAGTTTAGAATATTATTTAAACATTTTTTTGTATTATCAAGATTTATCTACGAATATGAACGATTCAATGGTATTGCTGAACTACTGGAAATACTTGGAAGGTATTCTATTTTGATAAGACGAACATATATATAAATTGTAAAAGAATTATATTCTATATTTAGTATAATTAATGGTTTTGCTATACCATTAAAAGAAGAACATAAATTATTTCTTGAACGAGTACTTATACCATTACATAAAGCTCATTCATTAAGTGCATTTCATCCACAAGTACATAAAATATTTATTTTAATTGATTTCTATTGTTTTTTTGAATTTTCATAGTTAATATATTGTATAGTACAATTTATTGAAAAAGAATCATCATTAGCTGAAGTTATAATAAAAGGTTTACTTAAATTTTGGCCAAAAACATGTTCAACTAAAGAAGTATAAAGAAAAATTTGTTTTTTTTTTGTAAATCATAAATAATGATTCATTTAGATATTATTTATTAATGAAATTGAAGAAATTCTCGATGTAATCGATTCAAAAACATTTCGATCTATTAGTATACCTCTTTTTAAACAAATTGCACGATCAGCTACATCATCACATTTTCAAGTAAGTTAGTTAATAATTTACAATACTTATTCATTTATACAAATACATCAGTTATATAAGAATGAGAAATCTTTTCAGAAGTTATAATACTAATTTATATTAATTCTGATATAGAGAAGTATCCACTGAATTCAGATTAGATATATATAATATTTCTATGGCAATGTGATAAGGTGATTCCTATCGTACAGCTATTTTCAAATGAATTGTGATTAGTAAAAATTTCATATTATCCAATGTATTAAAGTGTATGAGAGTTCTATTTCAAGTGATGAAACTGACATAAACGTTCCATTAACAAGGAAGAGTCCCCATATGTCAATTCACTTATTAGTTGACACTATGTGTATTATGTAGGAGCTAATAAGCTCTGAATGCTTTGCCGAGAGTTTATGTTCCTATTTTATTTCTGCTGAGATATTTAATTTTTATTGTGTATTTTCTTTAGAATTACGCTATGGTTTCTGTAAGGATTACTTGAAAAATGAACTTTCGACTTTCGAAAGGAAGTTTTTCATTGAGATTAATTGATCAAGAAAATTCCAGTTTTTTGAGTTCTCGATATTCCTAGATACCATTCAGTGTTTTTTCTAGATTTTCTCTTTTGGAAGGACGAACACCTATGCTTTGGAGTACAGACTGATAGTACGTGGTACAATAACCATACATTTCTCGAAAGTTAATTCAATCTGCAGAGAGGCACCGCCATCATGGTAGCCAAAGCACGAATATACTCGTAAGCAAAAGTTTGTTTTTCATATCAATTATAACACAAAACTTTTCATATTCATATTTTAAGATAGAAATAACCAATAAAGATTCTTATATAGACTACAACATTGTGCTAAAAAAATGTCATAAAAATTAAGTATCTCGTCAAAAATAAGATAAGGACAGAAACTATTTTCAGGATATTCAGTATTTATAAGAGCCTACATAATCTACGTGATTTTAGTTCGAAAGCGGATTAACATCTGGTAATATTCCCTTATAATATATTGTTGGAAGAAAAATTCAATGTGAATCAGATTTTTACTAATCTTGTCCTACACATTTATTAATAGATCGTTAATCATTTTGTTTTTAGTCAATAAAAAAATGTTTCTGTCATGATTTCGTTACAATCTTAGAATACAAAACATATTTTTCATAAGAAAATAAAATAACAAACAAATTACCATTTTTTTTTAGGTAGCTGAAAGATCATTAGCTATATGGTCGAATGAATATATTGTGCAATTAGTGGAAGAAAATCTTGAACAAATTTTACCCATATTACTTCCATCATTATGTCGAATATCTAAAACACATTGGAATACAAATATAATAACATTAACATATAATTTATTAAAAAATTTAATGGATATTAATAAAAAATTATGTGATGATATATTAAATACATTACGAGATGATGAAAAAAAGTGAATTAGAATAACTTTTTATTAAAAAATTTAAAAAAATAATATTTTTATTTTATTATATAGATTAACAATTAAAGAACAAGATCGAATAAATTTATGGCAACGACTTGAACAGATTAGTTTAGAAAAACAAAAACATTAATCTTCTTACATATTTTTGTACTTGTTGTATGTTTATTTGTAGTCTTTATTTTCATTTTTTTGACTTAAAACAATGCACAAGCATACTTTTCTTCTTCTTCTTGATCATGACGAATGTTCAGTTTTTTTTTGTTTTTTTTTGTCAAAAAAAAACTTAAGCTTTATGACAAATGTATTCTTATTATACGTACACTTGTTATTATATGCAGAATGGTTATGTAAACATATAGAAAGCTCTATTGTATAAATCACTTTAGTTATAGACATTTTTATAACTGATATAAAAAAATAAAGAAATAAACATTTTATTATATGACTTAGTTTTATTGAATAATAATATACTATTCAATTGTAATTATTGTTTGATTCTTAAAACTAAGAAATTATAATTAGTAATGTATGAAATGTTTTATATATTTAGAGATTGTTAACGGTGGTCGATTCTACACTATTCACTAAATAATAATATTCAATTTTTGAAAATCTCAATATTGTTTATTTTTATATTTATTTTCAATGATATAATTCAAAAATTTGTATATTATTGTAAAGAATTTATCTGATATCGCAAATTGAATAAATATGTTGATTTATTGATTGTTCGAAATGTGCAAAGCATTGAAGTCATTTGAGTAATTTATTATAATAATAGGCGATTGAAAAATTTTTAGAGAAAATATTTACTTATCTTTGAGCAGTTAGAATGTTTTTACGACAAGTCAAAGTCAATGAGTTTGTGCTCTTTTGAAATATATAGACTGAGAAATTTATTTTCAATTCTTATTCGAGAGTAGTGAAATAATCTTTGAAAAAGACTATACAACACTAAAAATTTGAGATCTTTATTTATGTATGAGTCTGTAAATCAGAAGCTATCCTACAAAATGCACTTTTTGAATTTCTTTTTTTATCTTTCGACAAAGTATGTCAATTTCGTTTTTCCTATATAGTTATTTTTAAAAAATCAACAAGCATTTTATGTTGAAAGAAGCTCTTGAATAGATATTGTAGCTTCATTTGGGTAAAAGCTATAGTTTAGTTCAATATCACATTTTGTAGAGAAATGTCTACTCTGCAAAAACGGTCGATTTCGACAATTTTTGGTATGTTCGAACAGGAACTTATAGGGTAGACAAAAGCGTGTAAGTTCATCATGAAAAACAATTTTTTCAAGTCTTTCAAAAAGTTCTTCATTAATTTTGAACAAAAAAAACAGACACAACATTTCAAAGCCCATATTCCAATTCTGGTCTCGACCTATAGTTTTTGGCTGGTTTGAAATGCTTTCAACTAGACTTTATTAAACGTTTTTCTGGCAGACAAACACATAAAACAACATCTTGTTCAAACAAACACACGGAATATTCAGAAACCTTTTGTTTACGGAGAAACTTGTTTTATCAATGAAACAAGTTTTTGAAACAAGGTTTTCATTTTTTTTGTTTCGACAGCATGCAAATTATCTTATCGGTCAATTGATAGTTAAAAATGAAAAATATCATTTTCGAGAGTTTCTTATACAAAGTAAAATGAACCTATTATTTACGCAAGTTTGGGTAGATTTATTGTTAATTAAAATAAAACTTAAAAACAAAAATTAAGCAGAATCTTTTTTCTTTAAAATTTCATTTTACTGAAAAGAAAAAGAGAAAAGATAATTATGCAAACAGATGTAGGATAAGAATGAGCGCCTGTCGATGTAGTTGTTGGTGGTGTTGGTGTTTGTGTTTGTGTTTGTGTTTGTGTTTGTGTTTGTGTTTGTGTTTGTGTTGGTGTTGGTTTTGTTGTTGTTATAAAAGTGAATTTAATTGTGTTTGAGTCAGAACAAGAAACAAAACCATGTAGATTCTCATAACAAGCTTGAACAGCAATTGTATGTTCAACACCATCTCCATATTGTGAAGGTACTTCATATACAGTTTGATTTTTCGGTATATCATCCGCAACTAACTTATTATCAATAGTTATTTTATACTTAGTAACTGAGCCCTCGATTGTTGGAGCTGACCAAGTTACGTGAATACCATTGGGAACTGATGATTGTTTAACATTTTGTGGTGCTGATGGAGTACCAAAATCAGTCTTAGTATCATATGACTTAGTGACATCATTATCAGTGGCTTTACAAATTAAAGTAAATTTGTATTGTGTATTCGGTTCAAGATTGAGAATCTTCACAGAGCCTATATCTGGCTTTACTGTAAAAAAAACTAAAGGTTGTGCATTAACTTTTGCTGGATCAACAGTCACTTGACATGAACATGATGGATCTGGACATTCTGTTACATTTGCCCATAATCTATAAATATAGGTGAACAATAATTAGATACATGAGAAAATAAAGATTAACTAACTCGACATGAGTATCATAAATTGTAGAAGAAGCATTAACAATATCAAGAGGAGGCTTCGCCTCGAAGTAATTGATCTTTGTTGTTGTTGCATATGTAATTATAATGAATAAAGTGCAGAAGATTAGTTGTCGTTGATATCCTTGCATGTTTCTCACACGTAACTTATATTGAAAAAGAATGATAAGAATATTTGATGATCGAGTCTTTTTATCTTCATATTTTCAACAATTGAAAGAAAGAGAGAGAGAGAGAGAGAGAGAGACAAGGTCTATTTTTTCAATAATATTGACATACAAAAAAATATGAATAATCCAAGAACAATATCATATGATTAACACAAATATTAGCAAATAACAATGTCAGTTGTTCCATATGTTCCACAGAAAACATTAATATTAAATATTGAACAAACCAATGATACCATCTATCTGTCATTTTATTATTTTTTTCTTAATTTAAAAATATCTTACGAAATATTTTAATTCTAAAGTTAGAGAAAAAAGAAGAAGAAAGCATTGGTTGAGGAATAAAATCACATCTTTATTTTTTCTCACCACGATGAATAAACTTATGCGTGATTGTATTCGAGCTATATCTTTCGATTTGATTTTTTTCAATGCAACACTATAATCAATAATAAGAAAGATTTTTACAAAATAGAAATGAAATTTAAGAAACATTTTCTACATAGAAGCCATTCTACGTAAGCCACGACCACCTTCCATAGAAGCTGTTCAATTGACGATCGCTGATTGGTCTGGTTTTTATATATGTGATAGAGATAAACCTTTGATGAATTGCTACGCAAGACGTTTCAAAAAATATTGTTCCATTCTTGAAATATTTAAATTGCTCTGAGGATACTCTCGTACAAAGAATGACGTTCTTTGCGAATTTTTATGGCACCGATATTTCTTCAAGAATACACCCATTTGACCTGAAACTTTCACTAAAGATTTTCCTTAGATTATGATGTTAATTGGACAAGACTACGAAGTGCATGGTAAAATTGCCATTTTTTCAGTATTTTGTGCGTAGATCTATATCAAGAACGACTTATCTTAGGAAACAATAATTTTGACTACAGAGAGATCTCATTAAGTACTAAGCCTCAAAACAGTTTCAGCTCTCTAGCTAGTTCTTATGGCTCACGAGACCATTGTCAAAAACGTGATTTCGACCAAAATCATAGTTTTGAAAACGGCTAATCTAAAGCAAAATCAGAACTATAGAATTCTGATCTTTATGGTTTTAAACTACACGCTTAGTACTACAAGGTCACACAAGAATTGTTATGAAACGTTCTTGGATACGCTGCAGAGCCTTATGGGAAGATGAGCCTAAAATTGACTTTTTCCCTGCTTAACTGATTTAGACTTGTTTAGGAATTATTAAAAAAACGTTACATGGTATGAAGAAAGTTTCTGTTCACGATACATCAGTCCATGATTCTCTAATAATTGAGTTATCTAACTGTTTTGGCAAAAACTTTTCTACTCAAAATCTTAGAGGGAAGTACGGCAAAATTTTTTCTATGATATTCGTTGCTTCTCTCTATCTTTCTCGATTGACGGTAATTCTGACATGGTAGCCAGTATCAATAAATATTTTCTATTATCTTTCTTCATTATATTTTTCTATGCGAATATGTATACTGATTAAAATGAAGAAGGCAACCCAAGAAGAATATCTATAAGAAAGCAGTGATACTATTCATTCCTGTGATCGACCCAGTGTATATTATATACTACCAATTGTTATCATATATCTTTCTTAACAATTCGTATAGATCGCGTCTAATGAATTATCATCAAAACGCGCATTTGAAATGTAGAAAGTAGTTAATGATAAAATTGACTTTGATCAAACTAGTATGTGGAGCTTCATTTATTTGATACCGTATATGTTTAATGAGTCATGTTTTTATTCACATCCAGGTCGAACATGCACGCTCGTAAACGTTCGTTTACGAAGCGAAACGACCAGAAACGAATTACATATACGAAGGTCGTAAAAAATACGGAATGATTAAAATTAAACCGTATCTGCTTCGTATACGGCTGTATATCAGCGTGGGCGATCGTATATGACCGTTGTATGTTCAATTTTCGGAATTCGTAGCAAAAGCGGGTAAGTTCGATTAGAGGAATCAAAGAAAACACTCTATCTTTCGGATAGACCCCGATAATGCTTCGCACAAATTCATTTGATTCCTTCTGTCTAATTGACGATATTTTTTTAAATTTCTGTCTTGTATCAACGTACAGATATCACGAAAATTCGAGAGCATTTATGTGCCAGCTAGTGGTAACACTGCACCAAGAGAAAACCAGCTATTCTCAACAGAATTCAGACAACACGATGTCAAGCTTTCAAAAGACTTCAATTGGTTGTAAAAGGTTTCGAAAGATTTCATGAAACTTCAAGACGGTTCGAACTGTTTTTCCTAGCACTACTCGCAGCTGAAACAAGATTACTGTTCAGCTGCGTGATAAATGTGCATTAGAAAAGACTAAATACAGATATTAGTGTAGTGCAGATGGTACTCAACAGAAGGTAAAGGCTATAGAATACTAATATAGAGTAAGGATGCAGCAGAGAATATCTAGGCATCGAATAAGAGAGCTATGACAGAAATATTGATAGAGAGTATTCATATCACATGTGCTATAAAGTAGTGGTTCTATGTACGAGGTACATATTGGGACTTTTTAAGTCGACAATATAGATTTGAACTAATGTCATACGATAGTAACTAGAAACAACGGTAAATTTAATTTTTTTTTTTTATTTCAGATCCTTGCATTGAATAACCATAGTGAACAGTAAGTATAAATTCTTATATTTAAATTTTTTGACTTATTTTAGATCATTTTTATGGCGTAAAGTCAAGACACAGTCAGGATGAATTTTCTTATCTAGTTTTCATTATTTGAACTCGTTTTACGATATACATTCACGAAACAGTAAGTATAATTTTTTTTTATTTCGTCATTTTATTTAGTGTAGTTCATCCAATGATCTATAATCAAGTAAAATTAAGTATAAATTTATTATTTAATTTTTTTTATTTATTTAGTTCCTAGTTACGATAAAAAGATAAAGCAAAAGTAAGTACATATTCATATATTAATTCTTTTATCTATTTTAGTTCATTTTATTAGATAAACTAAAGTAACAGTAAGTATTTTTTTTTGTGTAATTTTTTGGCTTTCTTTTAGATCGCTTTATAGTATCCATTGTCACGAAAATCGTCTCGACTTGGTCGATTTATATAAAATCGGTGCAGAAATCGCGATTTTCCAGCTTCATTTCCGTAGTAATGAGTTAAAAAAGAATTGCCGATTAATTATGCACTATATTGCGATTCAGTGCATGATTAATCAGCAACTTGCTTCGCTTATTCCTATCAGAATGAAGCAGGAAAAATGCGATTTACTCATTGATTTTGATAAAAATCAGCTGACTTGTAGCGATATTCGTGATATAGGATGACGGTACAGATAATCAATTTAGCATAATACACAGCAAAGATATCCATAGTGTACCGTACACTGTTAAAATACAGTCGTTTACGACCGTATGCGATCGAAATATGATCAGAAACTCTCCGTGAACGATCACCGTTTTGCTCCATGTTTATCCGTATACGATCGTAATACTGGACCATGTAATACGGTGAAATACGGAGTTCGTAACGCTCGATCTGGGCAGTTAAGGCTATTCCAATGCTTGGTATTGAAGCATCAATGTCATACACTGAAGATTTATTTTGTCCAGCTGATGTTGATAGTGAATCTTTTTTTAATTCAAATTTTGATATAGACAAATAGTAAAGTATTCTATTTTTCTAGTTGTTGATCGAATTAATCTGGAATCTTTTATTAATTTAGTACAACAGCTGCAACGAAAGTTAATGGATGATGAGGACAATAAAGAGTCTGTAAGTGTACAGTTATATGTTAAAATGTAATTGACCAGTTGGCCGACTATTGAATGATAAAAAGGAGCAAGAAAAGATGGAGCAAGAAAGATGGACACTATATAATCCTATTCATTGACATAGTGATGCATAGTTATTACGCAGTAGCATACGTGAGTTGTTTAGAATATTAAGATGCCCGAGAGAATGTAAGATATTTGAAATATTGTTTTCTGTAGTTTTTATCTTTGTTATTGAAACGATTTTCTTTTTTTATAGGATGAAAAAAGTGTTGCACAATCGAATAATGATTTAGCTAAAGCTTTTGAACAGGTCAAATTACTTGCAAACACAAAATGATTCGTAATAGCAGTTGATATCGATGCAATCGAAAAACAATTTACTGGCAAAGAATGAATAAAGAATACTGCTCTTTGGTAAACATGAATCGAACATTTTTATTTGTTCATGGCTGTACTTTTTGTGTGATGCACTTCGACGCGTTGTGTGAACACCAAGTCGATAAAAGTTCTTGTTTTTTTCTCTCTGTCAAAACTTATTTTTGGTACAAGAATAAAACAGCTATGCTCAACAAAGCATATATAAATAATCGTGAAAATAAAGGTGCACCTGTATAGTGAAATATTAGCTGTTATTCTCTCTCTCTCTCTCTCTCTCTCTCTGCTCATTGATAAATTCATTTTCATAAGTCATAAACAGTTTTATTTAATTTAGTAGATCTATTCATTTGATAAAGAAGGACAGTTTTAGTCTTGTAAAAATGAAATTTTTTAAACCAATTATAATTTCATTATCTTAGAAGTCAGTCAAATCTCATATTAGTTCTTTTAAAATACACCAAAAAATATGTATGCCATTATTGACTATTTTATTTGTTTTCATCTTCTTTATTCTCTTTGCATAGGAATATGATTGTCACCGCTTTTTGTTTGTACTATGTTATGTTCATCGGCTTTTATAGTGTAACAATTATTTCATGCATATAAGTGATGAATAACAGCATAGGTATGATATCAATATGAGTCATTCCACGTAAGCCATGACCGAACCTGTTCAATGAATGATCATCGACTGGACTGATTTTTATATATATGATAAGGACAAACCTTCGATGAATTGCTACGCAAGACGTTTCAAAAAATACTGTTCCCTTCTTGAGATATATAAATTTCTTTGAGAGTGCTCCCGTCAAAAAACACATTTTTGCGGTTTTTTGTGACATCGATAGATGTGCTGAACAATATATCCGTTTCACTTGAAATATTTACGATGCATAGATATCATGATTCTGTACGATAGAGAATCATAGGCTGATCTATTGTGAATAGAAACTTTCTTCATACCATGTAATATTTCTAATAATTCATAAACAAATCTGAATCAATTAAACATGTGAAAAGTCAATTTTGGACTCATCTTCTCATAAGACTGCACAGTATCCTAGGACGCTTCATAACAATTCGTTCGTGATTTTGTAGTACTAAGTGTGTCGTTTAAAACCATAAAGACCAGACTTTTATAGAACTAATTTTATTCTAGATGGGTCCTTCCAAAAACCGTGATTTTGGCTAGCATCATATTTTTGACGATGGTCTCGTGAGCCATAAGAACTAGCTAGAGAGCTGAAATTGTTTTGAGACTTAGTATTTGATGAAATCTCTCTGTAGCAAAAATATCAGCCCTCTAGCATGATTCGTTCAATCAAATATGTAAATGCACAAAGTACGAAAAAGTGAAATTTTTTCCATGTATTTGGTAGTCTTGGTCAACTTATCAAAGGTCCATCCATTTGAGTTATTTTTTTGTTCAGTAATACAGAATCATGATACCTATTCATCGTAAAAATTTCAAGAGAAACAGATATATTGTTCAGGATATATATTGATGTCCCAAAACATTGCAAAAAGTGTCATTTTGTGACGGGGTACTCTCAGAGAAATATAAATCTCTCAAGAACGGAACACTATTTTTTGAAAGGTCCTGCGTACAAATTCATCAAACATTTGCCTCTATGACATGTATAAAAATCAGTCGAATCAGCGATTATTGATTGAGCCGGTTCGGTCGTGGCTTACGTGGAATAGCTCGTAGATAAAATAGTCATAAATAGAATATATTTGATTTTATGACGATAGTTTTACTATCTTCCTATAACATAAATTTTATTGAATTAGATTCATATTTAATCTCTCTAAGTTTAGTGGTGTTAATGAGAACATGTTTTTTGGGAATATTTTGGTATTATGATATGATAATTATAAATAAATAAATTTATATAAGGTTTCTGTATGATCAAGATTCATTATATGATTGTGTATAGTCAAGTTTCAGAAATCTTGTATGTTTTCATTTAACTTCAAATTCATTATTTATCTTCAAGTGATTTTTTTTTAATGAGAAATTATAGATAATTATTGACCCTGATCCATCATCATATGGTTTATGCTCTGACATCTGCTCCATTCTTGTTCTTCTAGTTATTGCAAAAAAAAGAGTCATTTTTATAGTAGGCGGATCGTGAGATGAGAGAAAAAGAAAGAGAACAAATGTGTATTTATGTCCGATGGCGAAAAAAAGTCATTCACAGTGAGTAGAATTTACTGCAAGGGAATTGGTCGCCGCTATACGTCTGACCGTTTGTTTGCTTGTGTTCGATGATGTACGAACAAGGCATAGAGCGATGAACTCTCAACTACAGAACGCGCAGAATAAAATGCAAACATGTACACTCACACACACATATATATATCTACTTTCTTTTTTTCCCATTTTTCTTTATCATTAATGTGTGAACGGCAGAAAAAGCAAAAATTTTGTTTCTGTTTTTGAAAAAATTGTGTGAATATTTTATAAGATTATATCAATTAACACGATCAAATGAGTATCTACCGTAATGTCAAATGTGTAGTTGTCGGTGATGGTGCTGTAGGTAAGACTTGTTTACTAATGTCATATACCACCAATGCTTTGTAAGTATTCTTTTTCTTATTACATTCTATTTATAAGTTATTCTTTAATTCGATGTTTTTTTTCAGTCCGGGTGAATATATCCCAACAGTGTAAGTGTAAAATAACCTATACAATAGCGTTCAATTGATATTTTTTTTTTATCTATAGATTTGACAATTATTCAGCCAATATAATGGTCGATAATGAACCAGTTAATCTTGGTTTATGGGATACGGTAAATAGTGTATTTTTTACCTTTTATTTTTATATACACACTTATTTTCTTTATTAGGCTGGTCAAGAAGGTATATTCAATTGGATAAAATGAAATTAAACATAAAGCTAATCATAAATTTTAGATTACGATCGTCTTCGCCCATTATCTTATCCTCAAACTGATGTATTTCTCGTTTGTTACAGTGTTGTTAATCCCGCATCATTTGATAATGTTCGTGCTAAATGGTCACCAGAAATAAAACATAATAATCCTGATACACCCGTTGTACTTGTTGGTACAAAATTAGATTTACGTGATGATAAACATACTATTGATAAACTTTTAGTAAGAAGAAAAGAAAAAAAAAAACGACATTTTTATTTTATTTTTACTTTATAAATTAGGCTCGAAAATCAGCTCCAATTAATACACAAAAAGGTTCAATGATGGCACAAGAAATAGGAGCTGTTGCTTATATTGAATGTTCAGCATTAACACAAAAAAATTTAGCACGTGTTTTTGATATTGCTATTCGTGCTGGTTTAGGAAAATATCCAAAAATGAAACAACGTAAAAAATCCCAATGTCTCTTATCATAAGTATTCTCTCTATTCAATGTATATAATGTTCTTGTAGATAAATATATAAATAAATAAATAAATATGTATGAATAAGTATTTGTTTTTCTATTTTCTTTTATTATTATGATAAAACGAAATAACAAATGAAAAAAATATTATTTAAGCATTAGACGTGCTTTTTCAAGAATATCTTTTCGAACACGTATATTATCTGGATATCGTTGAAGAATCTAAAGAATATTTTGCAAAAAGTTTATTTCCAAAGAAATAAATACAAAAATACATACGAATTGGGCGATATCAATAGCATCTGTAAGCCGTTTTGATTTGAGATAATTAAATGCTAATTTATAACCTATATATTAAAATAAAAAAATTTAACTTCAAGTTATTTACCGCTTTATGAAAGAGGGTTCTTAAGAATTGACAAAAAAGTTCTAATATGATTCTATGTTTGCCAAAATAAAAAATAACAAACAATATTTTATTTAATTTTTAAAAAACTACATCACATTGACTGTGATGAATAGCAAAATTGTGAGTGTTATCAATAGTGATAGGTTCCTATTTTCAGAATATTCAAATAAAATAACTAGGAGAAAATTTCCACAGAAATTAAATAACGGCAATACTTTGAGAAGTCAGCACAAAAAATTGATTTTGATATAATGAATAGCTTAAGCTTAGATATGATTGAATTGCGTGAAGAAATTCATTTTCACTAGAGGGTTACAGTAAGTGTACGTGGTACAGAGTACAAGATGAAAAGAAAACCTTCATACACGCATATTCTCCATCATTTATACTTTCTCCAAGCTTAAATTCTACACGTCATTTCTTTATGCGTTCCATAGTAAATTTTAGTCAACCAGCTTATGCTGTAATGGTTCTAATTAGTCTAGTACCAATTATATCTTCCCGATTATTAGACAAACTGAAAAACTGAAACTTTATAGTTTTTGTTCTCCGTTTGACATAATGAATACGTGTTCAAGAGTATTCCATTATTAGGCTAATAATATCAATGATGTCCAATGTGGTTCAAATCGGACAAAAACCATCAGCAAACAACGGGTGATAGTTCGATTATTTTCTAACTTCCACTCTACCGAAATACACGGAAAATCATACTCCGATTAGCAATCTACCAATAGTACTGCTAATAAACATGGAACATAGAATGTTTTGTTTATTCTATTGTATTCTAAATTTAATTTTCCGTGAAATATGAAACAGAAAATAAATATATTATGCAGTTTAATTTAACAATATATTACCTATTGATGGTTGATTTTTTCTACTATATTTCCATGCTAGTTCGTAATTATCTGCTGCATCTTTATGTGCGCCAGTTTGTTCATTCATCATTCCCAAAATTTCTAACGCTCTTGTTGAACACTATTCATTTTTAAAAATAATACATAAAATAAAAATATGATAGTTTTTTTTTTCTATAGTCCAAACCTTATTAACACTTAAAACTTTTTTACATAATTCAAGTGCTTCATCATATTTTGTTGCTTGAATATATGTCATAGCAAGCATTAACCAACATTGTTCTATTTCATCGGCATCATCCATATTCCAAACTA